GTCCGCAAGTCTTAAACTTGCAAAGTTTGAAGACCCTTGTGCTAAACATAAGGTGAGTTATCTTTTTGGGCACCGCATATTCCATGAATACAGCAATATAATTGTTGTTTGTTTCGATTTAAGCAGGTTGTATGAACTCAGCCTCTGGAAGCTCTAAGGATAGTGATCCCATTTTTTCATCAAAGAGCACAGATACCTTCTCTTTGACCTCTGAGAATGAGTGTTATAACTGGTTATGTAAGAGCCATGGTGGCGCAGTGGTTAAAATGGAGTATTTCAGACTGATTCTGCCCACAGCCAGAAGTTTGATCCTGACCAGTACAAGGTTGATTCAGCCTTCCATTCTTCCAAGGTCAGTAAAATGAGGACCCAGATCCTTGGGGGCAATAGGCTGACTTTGTAAACCACTCAGAGTATTCTAAAGCACTATGGAGAGGTCTAGGTGCTATTGCTATGTGTCTTCCAAAATGTCTAAAGAAACATATATCCCTGCCTGTTTCCTGTCACCAAATATGATATTCTTCTTCCGTATTCATGGAAGAAGAATATCATCTTCCATGATACTTATTGTCAACTCATAAAATATTTCTATGGTCTTTTTAGAGTTGGCAACAGAAAGGGAGGTGGGAAAGGGGTTTGAAAGAGCAGTGTGGCAGCTTGGAAAGCAAAAGTGCATTCCATAAATAGTTTTTCAAAGATAGTAACTAGATGACTGAAGTTTCTGCCGTGCAAAATTCTAACTGGAGAACATGATTGATGACTCTTGGCTATGGATGTGTCTCATTGGAGAATATGAATTATGATACACCCGGGGGGGTGGGGGAAAACCAGGGTCAAGGGTGACAATGAATTATGTGTCTGAGTCGGCTACATCCAGGCAGTGCCGGACATGTTAACTCCCAATAAATCCTTTTGAAGTTTTGGAAGTTTGGCTTGAGACTCATGATTTAACTGGGATAACTGCTGGAATCCTGACACATATCACATGAATCATTTTTTTAGAAAAAAAATCCCCAAACGCATTCATTTTGAAACTGCAAAGCCAATTCCAAAAGAGGGATTCAACCTGAACCTTTTCTCTTATTGTCATAGTATATTGGCAATACAATTCATACATGTTTTCTCCAGCTACAAATATTTTTTTTTGCTGAAAGTGCTACAGAAAGATCAAGTGCCAGTTCGTATACATACCACATCAATTAGCTGAGCTATGGACAGTCCAAACCGGACAATCACAACATCAGAAGTATTGGGGACCGGCCTGGACCACCGGTTGTAAGCATGGAAAAGATATCTGAAGAGCCTTTCTTCTGCCTGTGTCTCTGTCCGGCTTTGGGGAGATGCAGATTCTACAACTAGGAACACACAGCCCTGTTAAAGTCAGTCTAACCAAACTTTTAAAAACTGCCATATCATTCTCAAATATTGCAAAATAAGTATTGCAAGTTAACTTCTAAAACAGTTTGAACAATGAAATTAAATATTGAGATCAATGTTCAAACATGACCAGATGTGTTTTTTTTAAAATACTTAAGCTGAACAATCCTTCCACATTTCTTACATTAATCATTCTGACAACCCTGTAAAGGCAAAATCAGCAACTTTATTGAGCATATTGGTGACTCAAATAAGTAAAAAAAAAACCCTCACCGCAGATCTTGCAAGACTGCTGTATCATGTAAGGCAGGGGTCCCCAACCGCCGGTCCGCGGACCGGTACCGGTCCGCAGAACAAGTCTTACCGGGCCGCTGGTTGCTGGGCGCCGCCATCTTTTTTTGGTAAAAAAGTGCTTCCGGTGGGCTTTTCCGGGTAGAAAGCTCACCGGAAGCACTTTTTCATCAAAAAAAGATGGCGGCGCCCAGTTGATGCCGGTACCGGGCCACGGCGCCCAGCTGATGCCGGTACCGGGCCGCGGCGTCAAAAAGGTTGGGGATCACTGATGTAAGGGGTTCCCATGTCAAAATCTATGCAAAGACAACAAACTCCATAAGCTCTTACATACTGGTGTGAACTCACAGGAGACTGTGGTAATTTTTGCAGCCAGTAAGGTAGTGAACATTTTAGTATCAAAGAGTAGATGGGCAGCTATATAAATTTGCTAAATCAAACAATCAATTACTAGAATCCTAAAGCTGGAAGAAGGGTTCGTTCAGTTCAGTGCAGGCATCCAGATTAAAACATTGGAAACAAATGAGGGGGGAGACTGAGAGAGAGAGAGAGAGAGAACAAACTATCAAAACAAATTAGTGATAAGCATTACTGGAACTTGCACCAATATTGCATTATGCACAAACAAACACATTTATATGTAGAAAAACTCAAAAATGCAAAGCTCTTGAGCAGAAGTTGGCATGAATAAAAAGGAAATGTACCAGCTCAAGAAAACAAACAAAGCTTAAGGAAAGGATATGTGCTTTCATGTTGCCACAAATTAACAACAGAAAATATGGAAGCTTAGACGCAATCATTATAAATCCTAGCTTTGAATCTAGTAATATCTGCAGGGCAGTCTTAAAAGTCAAGATGGCAATTGTAGCTTGGATCATCATAACACTCCTTTATGATTTTTAATATCGTTATATAACAGAAGCAGAAGGAAGCAAGGAAACATAGTTTGCATCAGTGGGATGACAGTGGTAAGAAAACAGCCAGGCTTGACTAGATCTGATGGCCAAGATCCTTCAAGGCGTTTCAGTGACATAGGGTAGGCGATGTAAGGAGCAGAACTGTTTCAGACTGAAAATTAAATTGAAATCTTCACAGCTCTTCACAACTATACTGCCTCTTCTAAGATCCTTTAGAGATCTTAAGGTTGCACCTCTCAAATGGCCAAAGGAGATGGGAATTGTGGGAACAGTTTGAAAAAGAAGCATTTTCTAAACTGATTTTTGTTGTGCAGTTCTTGCCTCCCCCCCCTCAAGCTTGTTATTTGCTTGCAGATGTTTTATTATCCACCTAGGTAACATTATCAGTGTTAGAGATGACACCTAATTGGGTAATGGAATGTCTGCAAGAAAACAACCAGGCTCAGGGTGTATCAAGACTCCACAGTTCAACTCTTACAGATACTGTCTTCTACTGAAGATAAATGAACACCCAAAGAAAGATTAGGATGAACAGTTGATCTGCTGTTTATACATTATTATTTTCAACTGTTTTTAATATTCTACACCAACCGGAGTCCTTATGGTATGTGTGCATGTGCCTTTATCTACTTTTTGAATCCTGATGACTGTCTGGATTAATCCATGCACTTTTCTTGGCAAGATTTTCAGAGGTAGTTTGCCATTGTTTGCTTTGTAGAGTTGAGAGAGAGTCACCGGTCCAAGGTCACCCAGCTGACTTTGGGCCTAAGACAGGACTAGAAATGGATGGCCTCCTGCTTTCTAAGCTTGAAACCTTGTATGTCACACAAATGCATCTTGTTACAAAACCTGGAAAGGTAAGCAGACATGGGGACCAACTTTCTACATCAAGTCTTTCAATGGCCAATCTTTAGGTAATTCAAAATAAAATAAGATAAGATTGCAGAGGCCAATTCTGAGGTGGAAGTACACTCAAGCGCAGAGGTCTCCAAACTTGGGGACTTTAAGACTTGTGGACTTCAACTCCCAGAATTCCTCAGCTAGCCATGCTGGCTGGGGAATTCTGGGAGTTGAAGTCCACGAGTCTCAAAGTTGCCTAGTTTGAAGATCCCTGCTTAAGAGCAAAGTTTTGGACCAAATTACAACTGGTGAAGTTGCCAGTAGAAATAGGAACCTTTTTAACTAATGAGACTTGTATTCCATCAAAGATTTTCTGGTTCTTTGTTTATCTCCTCTATTGTACCAAAGGAGTTCTTTCATTTGGACTCATACAGCTGACATCCTTAAAAACTAATGGTTCACTGTCTTTGCATTCTGAGCCAAAAAACCTTTTGGAAAATATCAGGGACAATACCTAACGCTCAGGTCTTGAATAAGCAGCAGTATGTTGTATGTAATAGGCTAACAATCTTTGAGAACATAAAGGAGACTGGAAGAAAATTAAGGGAGGAAATGGGGCTGTTGCAAAAGAGAGCCTTAAGTCCAAGGGAGGTGTAAAACCTGAAAAAAAAGACTTAGCAAAAACTGCCTTAATTACACTAAGCATAAGTTGTGTAGGAGAATTGCTTTGGCAGGTTTTCAAGATTCTGATATGTTACCTTACCAGCAATAAATATATTTCCAGAAACTCAAATAGTTCTTGTTTCCTGAGTTTGCCAGCTTTACAGAAATTGAGAATATAAGACAGTATAAAACAATATCCTGGTTTAAAACTTAATCTGAAGATTGCACATAATATCCACTTCAATCACCCCAGTTTTTAAAACCCTGAATAACAGAGTTGAGAGGGACTTTTGAGGTCTTCTAGTCCAACCCCCAACTCAAGCAGGAAACCCTATACCATTTCAGACAAAAGGCTGTCCAATCTCTTCTTAAAAGCCTCTAGTGTTAGAGAACCCACAACGTCTGGAGGTAAGCTGTTCTATTGGTTAATTGTCCTCACTGTTTGGACGTTTCTCCTTAATTCCAGGTTGCTTCTCTCCTTGATTAGTTTCCATCCATTGTTTCTTGTCTTGCCTTCTGATGCTTTGGAAAATGTTGACCCCCCTCTTCTTTATGGCAGCCCCTCAAAAACCAGAATACTACTATCATGTCACCCCTAGTCCTTCCTTTCTCTAGACTGACCATACCCAATTCTTGCAACTGTTCTTCATATGTTTTTGTCTCCAGGCTCTTAATCATTCTAGTTGCTCTTCTTTGCACTTTTTCCAAAGTCTCAACATCTTTTTTGTAATGTGATGACCAAAACTGGACACAGTATTCCAGGTGTGGTCTTATTAAGGCTTTATACAGCGGTACTAATATTTCATGTGATATTGATTTTATGCCTCTGGTTTAATGCAACCAAGGATTGCATTAGCTTTTTTGGCTGCTGCCACACACCACTGGCTCATGTTCAAGTGGTCATCCACTAGGACTCCAAAGTCCCTCTCACAGTTACTGTTTTTTGAGCCAGGTTTCGCCTAATCCGTATTTGTACCTTTGGTTCTTCCTGCCTAGGTGTAAAACCTTGCTCTTCCAGATGCTTTCTTTTTTAAGTGGGTATTTGCTTTCAATGCAGTTTCTGTATTTATTTGCAAATTTGTATTCTGATTCTTCAAGACGAGGCAATGCATTTGCATTTGGATAAACTGACAAACTACTGTGCCAAATAACTGTCAGGGTAGAAACAAATCCAGCAAAGGGAAAAGCTAGTAAATCACATAATAAATAGGTGCCCTTGGCTCAGGCAGCTTTCCTTGTCCCCAGGGGCAGACTGACACAAAGAAAAAAATAGCCATTTTACATCTGAGAGACTTTAATCTGCCCCTTGGCTGCCCAGGTTATTTTTTCCCCCTGCTGTTGGCAAGTGGATTTGAAATACAGACACAGCCCTACATCTGCTCATTGGGGGAGCACTGAAAAAAAGATCGTACAAGTGGAAGCTTGTGCAATCAACACTCTCAGAAGCACGCAACACCAAAAAACCCACCGGTTAACTCACAACTGATGAAGGAAAATGCAGAAGGACATTTCCCTTGTTTTGCAGCTTGTTCATACGTTTATTGCTGTATTTGTACAGGTCGAGACTCGAGTCAAGCATCTCAATTTTGCCTTTGGAATTCACTCAACGTTGTTAAGCCTGGATTCCCCAACGGGTGTTAACGAAAACAAACTAAACAGAACGTGCAGCGAAGTCAGATAGGAAGACAGGTAAATGCGTGAGATAAGTTTTCTAGTTAACACGTAGTAAAAATACAGATACGCTTGTGCTATCAAAAATATTGTTTATTCCATTTAAGAATTATAGCATAGTCAAATGTAACGGTCCATTAGTCATATATCAATTTCAGTCAAGTCTTGTCGGGGATACTCTATTTGCAAAGTCCGTGTTGAATAGCCAATGTCAGTACACTTACAATAAATCTGTCCAATCTTTATCTTCTCTCCATTGAGAAGAATCAACACTCCTTCGGCAAGAACACAGTCATCAATGCATCCAGTAATTAGGGATCAGTAAGCCAGAGAGAGAGAGCTGAAATTGCCTCGCTTCTAATATAGTGCTTTTATTACCACACCCTTAATTACATTCTTGCAGTTAAAGTTACACACACTTTAATCAACAAACCATGATACCATATTTATTATTTTTACCCAAACCAGTTAGGGTAAACAATGTTATCCCTAACAAACGTGAAGAACTGGCCATAAGTGAATAGAGGCTTGTCAGCAGGGACAGAAGTTTAAAATTGTCAAGATGGCAGAGGGTTGCAATCCATGAACACTCCCACCCTTTTGAAGATGCATCATTCCATTCAAAAGGGGGCAAAATGCATGCTTTGTCTGCCATGGTGCTGCTTTTGACACTTGCCTTCCCATGAATGCCAGTGAGGTTTGCCATCAGAAACAAATTGGGTGCTATGAATCTGGGTGGCCTGGAGTTGTAATTAACTGGATGTAGAAAAGAGGTGGGGAGGGAGAGAAGTATTAAGGGAACAAATGGAAACAGAGCTAAGAATCATAATCTGAAACAAAGAGGTTCTAACAGACAGAAGGGAATCTGGATAGATATCATGGAACTGGACATTCTGAAGGATTGGGAAGGATGTCTCCAAGAAATGACAAGAAGAAACAAAACTTCTGGGAAAGTATCAAAGATATGGAGTGTGGGTGTAGGAACAAACATATGGGACAAGGAGCAGATCCAAGGACTCAACTAGATACAGAGCTACCCCACAGATGTCCCAGAACATAAATCATACCTCCCTGAGAAGGGTACAGACAGACCAGCCAAAGTTAGCTTGGAGTAGATTGCTTCTTGGTATCTTGGGTTTTTATCCTTTACTACTAAATAAATTAAAACCATCACTTGAATTGCACTTATGCAATAGTCACAAAATAGAGCTGGACTTTTATCAGCACAAATGCTACTGCTTTTTACACCAACTGCAATTTCCTAGCAGTCATTAAGGACAGTCTCTGATAGAGTGAATTGCAGTAACCCCATCTGGAGATCATGATGACATGAATTCCTGTTGCCAGTTTCCTACTCTAAAAAGCTGCAATTGACCCATCAGCCAAAGTTGCTTACTCATAATCACAGTTTCTACCTATAAATCTAGGCAAAGCCATAAATACAGGAACCTTCCAAGTTATAGACGTGCTCCTTTGGATAGAAGACAACGTCTTCTAAAGTCACCAGGGGAGCCACCTAACCACTATATAGTCACTGAACAAACTGCCACACTGTCTCATCAGGATTCAATTCCAGACACTGGGAAATTACTTCTACAGCATTTCCTCTTTGGCTCTGAATAGAGAAGTACATCCAATAAATCAGTGATACCTCTCCCCCAACCAGTGGATGATTTCCTCCTGCAATTTTTAATTAATGCTAAATGGCACAGGTGAGAGGATGGACATTGGCAGCACCCCATATTTAAGAGCCTATAACCTTGACCACTCATCCCCTACTGACAGGTATTACCTACTCAGGAGTAAAACCAGTATAAAATTATTCCCCCAATTCCTGAAATCTTATAGACACTCCAGAAGATACCCATTGAGTAATAAAAAATAAATCTCTTTAACTGATTTGACATTTGGAACATCTCAAACTTCTTCTTTTACTCTAGTTTATGTATTCCTTTGCAACATCCCATTAATCACTCTCTATACTAATTTGCATAATAAGACACTGTTTAAAGAGGGAGGTAATTGAGGTGGTGGAGGGGAAAACATAGTTGTCCCTTACCTGACAGCAGCACAAACCAAAAGGATAGGATGATCCAGGTGGCTGGAAATCCACTCATAAACAGCTCCATCTTCTCAGAGGCTGTTGTTCATCACTTCCCCCTGAAATTCTTGGCCCCAGGATAAAAAATTTGGTCAGTTGCCTCTTTCACTGGCAAAGTCTCACAAAATGATACCTAGAAGGTGAATGAATATACACGTTCATCCTATTTGACTCCCTCAGGGAAGGTAGCTGAGCTCAGTGCTGCATCAGTTGGCTTCCTTCCTAGAAGACAGCTGGCTGGTCTTGTCATTGGAGGAACTTCTTGTCAACTGAGATTTGAATATCAACAGGGACCTTCACAGTGTAGAGACAGGTCAAACATGTTGTCCCACATTTACATGGGAATAAAAGAAGGAAAAGAACACTAAAGCAAATCTGCAGGCAAGGACAATAGGACCTAGGACCCTAACAGAATGATATCACGAGGAAGGAAGTAGGACTGTTGTTAACAATCCAGTTATGTTTTAAACAAGATATGACTAGGGTTAGAAGAGAAAAGGTGAAATTAATTCCTCATGGTAGGAATGTGGGGGAGGTTTGAACCTCCAGTGCTAGAACTGGGATTCAGGCAGTTGTTTTTTTGCTCCTTTCTAAAACAGGACACATTGATTAGGGCTTAAGCATCACAAATTCACACAGAGAGAGACATAACAGAGAGAAGGAGGGAGGAGGATATCTGCACCTTACATACATTCACATTTTGCAAGTCACATACATGTTTACGTTCATATACACCAGGGTGAGTTAGATCTTTTCAGCAGATACAGGCAGGTAATAGAGGGGTGAAGCAAATGGAGATAACACCTTCTTTGCTTTTTAGAAGGCTACGTATACAGATATGTCCACAACTTGCCTATTGTTCTCTCACTTCTCTTTCCTTCTTGCCTTTATAGTGCCTGTAATATCAGCAAGGAAGGGAAAAAATAGATGGGAAGGGATAAGAGTGGCAGTCATTCACTGTAAGATCAGGATAGGCCATTCCAAGAATCACAGAGTAAGCAAGAGGGTGAAACCAAACAGTGCTTTATTTTCCATAGCAGCTAACCATGCTTGGGCAAAATCAAATGCAGAAGAAAAGACCAGTACTTCTCCCCTATTCTTCTTCCACAATTTTCATTCAAAGGTGTGAAGTTGTTAGGGCCAAGATCCATCAATTTTGTGCACAATGTAAGACTTTTGTTTTTCTCCATTATTTCCCATTTTTAAAAGCACCTAAAATGTTGACATCACTATGGGAAATTTCTGAGGGCTACAAATACCATAATGATAGGCCTCATAAGGCCCCAAGTCACATTCTTTAATAATATAGTTTTGTTGAGGTTCATCATAATATAAAATACAAATGAAAATAAAGATAACAGGCAAATAGGCAAAGAAACAGAAGGGGGAAAGAAGTGTGGGGTGAAGGGGACCAAAAATAAAACAGTAACATCTAAAATACAAAACACAGTTACAACCTCAGCTTTTTACTTTTGCATACAGAGCAAATACTAGTCATAGCTGTAACAACAAACTAATATAATCAGCAAAACCCAAAATCAAAATTTCATATATACTTTTCTGTTTTGAGCACAAAATCTAGAAGGGTCTCTAAGTAGAAACAAACTGTTCTTAGGTTCTTTTCTTTAATTAAAACAGTTAATTTTGCCCCTCTGCTAGTTCCATCAGCTTTTCCATCTGTTCTTCCATTGTGGGAATTGACCTGGGGCACATTCTGTGCGGCCCTGTTTTTGGTTATAATCACATCAGACCCATTTGTAATATTCAGGGCATCTGGTTCAATTTGCTGCTCTTTTTTTCTACACTTCCTCACCCACACAGAGACTGATTCAGTTAGAACAGCATATAGATATCAAAGAACAGGTGATGTTCCACACAGACATTACAAGAGACCAAGACTTCAAGGCTCTCTATTTAAATTGGCTTTCTAATCTTTTTTTAAAAAAGTGGAGGGGGGGGTGGATATGTTCTGAATTTCCTGTGCCATAAATGTATGTCTCGGGAGGGAAGGTTGTCATGTTTGAGCCCTAGCCAACATATCCTATTATAAAAAGGAGCCCAAAGCAACTGTCTGAATCACAAACAGGTCTCAATGCTACAGTGTAGTTCTCTTTAAAACTTGGGGATTTGATAGCATTGGAGTCCAGGCAGAAAGAAAGAAAGAAAGAAAGAAAGAAAGAAAGAAAGAAAG